CATTATGTAAATTTAATTTATACTTATTTAAATGTGTTGTGTTTGTTTGTACTGATGAAGGCATGTGCCGAAACGTTTAATTCTGTATAATGTACAATTATTATTAAAGCTAACTCATATTGTTCTATTGACACAATTTGTTCGTGTCTTATTAATATACAGGATCATTGTAACATGAAACTATACTACAGGATCATTGTAACATGAAACTATACTACATGATCATTGTTACATGAAACTATACTACAGGATCATTGTAACATGAAACTATACTACAAGATCATTGTAACATGAAACTATACTAGAGGATCATTGTAACATGAAACTATACTAGAGGATCATTGTAACATGAAACTATACTAGAGGATCATTGTAACATGAAACTATACTACAGGATCATTGTAACATGAAACTATACTAGAGGATCATTGTAACATGAAACTATACTACAAGATCATTGTAACATGAAACTATACTACAAGATCATTGTAACATGAAACTATACTACAAGATCATTGTAACATGAAACTATACTACAAGATCATTGTAACATGAAACTATACTAGAGGATCATTGTAACATGAAACTATACTACAAGATCATTGTAACATGAAACTATACTACAGGATCATTGTAACATGAAACTATACTACAAGATCATTGTAACATGAAACTATACTAGAGGATCATTGTAACATGAAACTATACTAGAGGATCATTGTAACCATACACTCATTTATTTTGGAAAACACTTTTTAAAAATGCTAATATCAATCAATGCTTTAATACAGAACAAAAAACATAACATTTATATGAAAGATGAAAAGTTGTATTTCCGACTAAGACTGACCGAATCTGACTTTGACAGAGCATATCTGACTGAGTCCCACACATCTAAGACTCACCACATCTGACTAAGACTCATCACATCTGACTAAGACTAACGGCACATCAGGTTTAACTCCACTCACATGACTATGGCTCACCACATCTGACTAAGACTCACCACATTTGACTGAGACAGGCCACACTTGACAAAGACTCACTATACCTCATTATGTCTAACGACACTTCATATTAAAACTCCCCACACTTGACTAAGACTAACGATACATCAGGTTTAACTCCCCTCACATGACTATGGCTCACCACATCTGACTAAGACTCACCACATTTGACTGAGACAGGCCACACTTGACAAAGACTCACTATACCTCATTATGTCTAACGACACTTCATATTAAAACTCCCCACACTTGACTAAGACTCACCACACTTGACTAAGACTCACCACACTTGACTAAGACTCACCACACTTGACTAAGACTCACCACATTTGACTAAGACTCACCACATCTGACTTTGAACTGTAGGATCCTACTGCAATACTCTCAATGGCCATCCATCGTATTGGCAGGTTTTGCTTCTGGTCACATTTGTAGTAGCCCCTTTCATAGACATCCCGACATAGACCAAAATCAGCGACCTTGACTTGGTGATTGAGGTCAAGCCTGGAAATGTTAATGAAATGAAAATATTATATATAAGACTGTAGAAAATTTGTTTGAGCTGGTTTTCACCTTTCCCTTAAGCGTCTATTACATTCATATTTAAATTTGCATAGTCCTTTTTTAAAAAATAAGGATTAGTTTGACAGACTGACTAAGAAATGTACACCTATAAGTTAAATCACCAAGAGAATAAAAAGAAATGGATGAAATATTTGTTATAATTGTGCGACATATTGTTACCTCCTCGTGTGGGATGATAAAACACACATTTTTCTCCAATTCCAAGTATTACATGGACTATTAGAAAACTATTTGAAATATATTTAATCAATTGAGGAATACATTTTTTAAAACGAACAATCTTCTTGATTAACCGAACAGTTATCTACATCAGCCATTTTATGTTACCGCTACCAGACACATTAATTGCATAACTAAGGTAATAATATTCTGGTTAAATCATTTGTTAAAAACGACAACAACCCAATAGACGAAAGGGTTGACCACGAAAAAGTTGCCAGCTCCAGCTAGGGGCTGGATTTTTGCATATACTCACAGGTTACAGCAGATGATGGTACCAATGACAACAGGCACATTATCTTAGATCCTATCAAATGCTGAAACTTGTATGTAATTGAATGAAAACAACCGACTTGATAAATTATTTTGTCATACAATAACCAGATACCAACAACTTTTTGTGGTCATCTGTATAACATACTCACATACAATTCCTGGCTGATAGATCGCGATGGACACATCTGAGTTGGCTGAGGTAGGCCATGCCATTCGCTATGTCCGCTCCATATTTAATAACGTCATGTAAGGTTAGAGTCTAGTTAGCAGACAAAATTTATGTGATTGAATTGCTAGCCAAGAAATAAATACTCAGAAGTAATTGAGTATGTTCTACATCAATGTTATCAAAGCCACCCTGACAGTTGTATGAAGATGATTTGATCGCGCTGCGCAAACCTTAGGTACTTTATTATAAGGCAAACGAGGAGAATAACACATTGTGAAATAGATAATTATATTAAAACACGGTCTACTTTGATTTTACGGCAAATTAATGAAATGTTTCTTCGATATACTTAGTTGTTATGATGTCAAGACACAATCGGTTATCATTTACATTAAAACCTATGCAATTATTTCTACAGACAAAAAGAACTGTTCCCATATGTAAATGTTAACAAATATAGACGTAATATTTGAAGTGTCAAAGACAGATTTGAAGAACTAAGGAGAGATTTGAAGTTCAAATGAGAGATATGAAGTGTCAAAAAAGGATTTGAAGTACTAAAGAGAGATTTGAAGTATGAAAGAGATATTTAAAGTGTCAACGAGAGATTGGAAATATTAAAGAGAGATTTAAAGTGTCAAAAAGATTTGAAGTGTCAAAGAGAGATTTGAATTACTAAAGACAGATTTGAAGTAATTAAGAGAGATTTGAAGCTCTAAAGAGAGATTTAATAATATTAAGAAAGATTATGGGCACATTTAATTGTTCAGAAATGATGTTAAGATTTTTTTTCTTTAACAATGTAATTTCAAATGTTCCCAAAGAATTACGTGTGTTAAAAATCGGAAACAGTTTAAACACATTTAACACATTATACATACCACGGAAGTGTCACGCACATAGGTCAAGAGGTCATGGTTCTCCATAAAGGGCAGTATGACGTATGGGACTCCTGGTTCTTTCTCCGCCAGTCCAATCAGACCCAGTACATTCGGATGCTGGAATTCTCTCATGATGACAGCTTCTTGGACCAGGCTGACTAAGTCGATGTTGTGAGCCATGGGATCTGAGGACAAGAGTTTTTTTTTAAAATATCAAATATGTGGAAAAAACCCAACTCTTTACACAATATTAAAAATGCAGATATCAAACATATGTTTTAACCATTAAACATATTAAAAAAAACACATTTTATATACGTATTTATTTTTTAATCGTTCATGTCAAATCTCTTATTACGGCACTCACACGCCCCACACCTAGATCCACCCCCCCCCTTTATGGACCATAATTATAAAACACACACACAAATTAATGTTAACATATACAATTTCGTAACATCAATAAACTACATGTTTTTTTTCTTACATATTAAATATATAAAAATAAAACACTAGCTGAGTGGTTCTCAACCATCTTAATGCCTAGACCCTTTAATACAGTTCCTCATGTTGTACCGTTATAACGTCATAACATTATTTTTTTTTGTTGCTTCTTCGTTAATATATTTTTTCCGATAGTTTTACCGGACACTTTGTAAGGCTCTTTCGACTCTCCGAAAGGGGTCACGACCCACAGGTTGAGCACCGCTGCTCTAGGTGATCTGCGACATTTCACAGCAAACAGTTTACCTTTGAGAGTTTTAACGGCTACTGGTTGAGGCAGTTGACCTGATCCTGCCATTAGGAGACCTTCGTACACCAGACCAAAATTACCTGGGAAGATCAGATATGTTTAAATTTGACAACTTTTAAAACACTAAGACATCCTTTCAATAAAAAATTGTATTTTTAAACCATTAGAAACAATAAATAAATCTCCGATATCACATTTTCGGAATGTTCCAATATGACCATCTCTTCTAAATAGGGATTTTAAAATATATTTTAGTAATACATAATAAAAGGATTTAAAAAAAAAAAAATTATTTCATAATCAACCAGCATTCTTTTTTTTTATTTATACCTGGGCTGTTATTGGAACAATATTCTCTTTGAGGTCGAGGATTGAATTAACTTCTATTACTTAAATAATATTAAAAATTAGGAGAACATTAAGAAAAAAAAATCCATTCATCTTGAAAAACTGAGAAATTATATTTTAGTAGTTTAATGTTAAAAGTATGTTTGATCTTTAAAAAATACCATAACGTATTATGATCTCACCGGTTCCAATTGTTCTGCCGATTATAAGTTGATCCAAACTGACAATGAGATTCTCCATTTCCAATGTGTTGCCCATCTCTACAACAGAGTCTAGAATCTGTTTAAGGTTGGGTTTAGTTGTTACGTCACTTCCTTCAAAATAAACGCGAAATTGTTACGTCTAAAGCATGCTTTCAGATCCTAAGACCTCTTATAATTAATGACATACATCAGTTCTGTGACTAAATCCTGGTAATATTCAATACGAATTTTCTCAATTTGGATGTTTTAGTGTTTGAAACAAAAAAATAAATGCATTTCTCATAAGTAATTCAATTAGATAAAGGTATTTTGTAGGCCAGTGGGATTTCTTTTATCGCCACGCCTCCGTTCAAACCAAATTAGCTTAAGAACAGGCGCAGGTCAAAATTTCCTGTTACTTTTTTCAAAAATAAATCTACAGAGTCAAATAAGTGTATTGATTCTCTTTATTTATTGCCTTCTGAATAGCTTGTTTTTTATTTAAAAAAATCATCAAACCTTTTGCTTTATCCATTCCTTTTCCAAAGAATGTTGAAATGTTAGTCGGATTATTTATATAAATCTAGCTTTCATATTTTTCTAATTAATTGCATAAGCATAAGAGTATCAGACAAACGTTATTTTTTTTTTCAGCGTGAATTGAAGTTTAAAAAAAAATAAATTAAAGAATTGAATAGCCTTTTAAATAAGATAAGTTATTTTTATTTATCGAAATAAACGAAAATGCTTGTTTGAGTTTCCCCATTCTTCCTTAAAATTAGTCTGTAGCAAGACATTCGGCGTGCATTTGTGCGGTAAGAGAAATTGTTGTGTTCTTGAGGGACAACAGAGTCTTGGATTTTTGTTTCAACAGAGTTCTCTTTTTTCCTCTCCAAGATCTGGGGCACTCTTTTTGTGTCTCGCCGATTTGTCTTTCAATTGTTGTTTTGATCTTGCCATTTATTTACAAGATGGCGTATCAATTTATTCAAATATGGCGGATATGGATTTGTTGAGGTTTACGACAACGATGTCCACAAAAAATTCATGAAACCACTGTTCCTCGCGATAAAAAACAACATAGTATCAGCCAAATCAGGAAAAAAAAACACATTCAACACGCCTTGTTTTCAAATAAAACTTTGTAAAATTGTCTATACTTTTAAGAAAGCTGAAAAATATGCGCAGATGAAATCGAGTCGCCTGCAGAGCGGTGCCCTGGAATTAGTTTAAGCTCCTATAGAACGTTTGAATTTCTTTAAATTTAAGGAGGGATTTACAAATTCAAGAAAATAGATGCATTAAATGTTAATTAAGAATGTTAGTACGATATATTGCACTATTTAAAAAATCATTTAAAAAAGAAAATAATAGTTTTAAAAAAGAGAGATTTAAAAAAAAAACGTTTAATTGCAGGCCGCCACCAAAAGTGTCCCCACCAATAGAGCTGCCATATATGGCAACAGCTTGACCCCCTACGGCAACACTTTGGCCCTCATGGCAAAACGTCGCCCCCCCCCCCATGGCAACACGTCGGCCTCCCATGACAACAACGCGGCCTCCCATGACAACACCTCTGCCCCCATTTCAACATCTCGGCCTCCCATGGCATTACTTCGTTGTCCCATGGCAACATCTCGCAAAACCTGAAATGACGCCCTTGATGGGCATAGTCTATAGCAGCTTATTTGATTTATCATTTTCTTCTTGCGGAACTGGCATACCAGACAAGTCAAAAATTTTCTTATTTTATTAGTACTATTAGTGATGGTTTTATATAGCACGGTACCCAAACCTATTGCTGGGCTCACAACGCTGTTCATACAATTTAACAATGATCTTAAAAATTAACATACATTAATTAAATAAAACGAAACCAACGAATATGCACTCCATACATTCAAGAACTAATTACATGAAAAGTCAGAGAGGAGGGAGGGGGGATCAGTCAGGATAGTAGCGTTTAAAAGAGATGTGTTTAGAGCGATGTTTTGAAGGCTGTGATGGTCGATACATTGCGAGTGTTTAGTGGAAGAGAATTCCATTATTTGGGGCACAGAAAGAGAACGATCGTTCACCTAATGCTTCTGTGCGAGTCTTGGGGACAGGAAGAATACGCGCGTCTGCGGTGGAGCCTAGCTGTCGAAAGGGTGAATAGACAGACATATGTTTGGTTCGATAGGAATGGGTGTAATTCGAAAAAATTTGAGAACAGAGAGTTTGTAGTCAATCCGTGCTTGTACAGGGAGTGTCAATATTTCTATTTTCTCTCTTCCTGTTTTCCGACTTCTGCAACAAAAATGGATATTTCTTGAGTTGTTTACTGTGTTTTGTTTTCTTGTGATATTTTCATTTTTCCTGTGCGTGCGCTGAAATAGGCTCTATGCAGAAACGTTCAAATCTTATTGTCCTGTCCTTTAACTCAAGCTTCAACATACTTCGTTTTGCTTTTTCATTGAACAGGGAGCCAATAAAGTAAATGAAGTAGTGTTGTGACGTGATCACGTTTTTTCGTTGCCTTTAGAATTAGCCTAGGAGCTGAGTTTGGAACCTTTTGTAATTTTTCTAAGAAGTGTTTTGGTTAACCTGATAGAGGAGTGTTACAATAGTCAAGACGAAAGAGAAATTGAGTACAGACTAGGGTTTTTGTTGCGCTAAACTTGAGGTAGTGTCAGATGGAGTTTATCTGACGAATAGCGCTGTATGCAGTATGTATCTGTAATTGTTTTTTTTTAATGGCAACTGTTCCCGTGCAGCCAAACACAAACTTTTGGAAGGTGAATTTAAAATTATACCCTTGTAGATTAATGTTAATTAGTTTCTTGAGGTTTAGCGGGCAAGTTTTGTAAATAATGTTATCTGTTGTTTAGTGCAAATAAGCTTAACAAAACCATGACAGTTACCTGTAGAAATGAGATATAGTCTAGTGGAAGTAAGCTAAATAAACACAACCATGACAGTCACCTGAAGAAATGAGACCCACGCCTGGTCCGCCGATAGTTTGACCTATCCTCAAATTTGACCTTTTCAGCCTCTTGAGCAGAACAACTGTTAGAACTAAGAGAGACACTATGACGATAACCACCAAGCACGTGCCAACAATGACCATCGTCTGGACAGTTTCAGACAGGGGATCCAGCGATATCGTCACTTGACCGAGTCCTGTCACGTGGTTGCCAATCTGTAATGTTACGGTACACTGAAAATCTCGTTCACCGGGCTGAAGACGGGTGCAGCCATCGAGAGCATCGTCGTCGGAGCTTGCGTTGCTCCCTGTGTCACTCTTGGGCTGCCGGTCCAATTCTGCTTGTTTCTTCTGGAGATTGTCAATGGCGTTTCCGGCGTCACACTTCAGACTACTCACTGTCAACATAACTATACGACACACCTGGTTACCCACTTTTACAGTTATGTCTTTATGATTGAACATAGTTAGATTCGGCACCTGTATAAAGATATTTAGATGAAATTTACTTTGTATTAACCCGGTTATAAATAACGTCGATAAAATAGTCCTTAATACACATACTAAAAATAATGATAAACGAGGTTAAATGTCAGCTAAAATTATACTTATCAGCGAATTTGCTGTATGCATAATTTTTTTATTCAGATGTAGCACATGACGTAAACAATTTATCCAGCAGGTGCATTACCGACAAAATAAGTATGGGGTCGTTCGTGGATAGTTTAGTTTTTTGTACTGTATCATTGGCAAATTTCGGACTTCGATAAATCTTCAGTTTGAGCTTGCGCAATGACTCTTTGATATTGAAATAATTATTGTCCATCTCTATTTCCAGCTCCGCATCAAAATGATCGCCTGATCCATTGGCCTTAAAGTATTCCTCTGTGATGATGTAAAGGTCAGAGATCACACACGTCATACTTTCGTT